AATGACTATCGCCCTGTGGCACTGACCCCCATCATCATTCAAGTGCTTTGAACGGCTAGTCATGTCTCACATCAACTCAAGTCAAGTCAAGTCAGCTTTATTGTCAGATGTGCTATACATGCATGACATACGGCACAAATTGAATTTCAGTCCTCTCGGACCCACGGTGCAAAAGGCAATAAAAAAATATGTTTTCTATAAATAGAAAAGAAATACAATAAACAATCAACAATTTAACTTGACATAAAAATGAACAATCAACAGTTTAAGATGACATAAACATAAACAATCAACAATTTAGCAAGACATAAAAATAAACAATCACAATCACAATCACGTAATGGTGCTGTTGGTGTTGCTGCTGACCCAACCTGTGGTCTCCCCGTCAGGAAGTCCAGCAGCCAGTTGCACAGGGAGGTGTTGAGCCCCAGCTGGTCCAGTTTGTGGATGAGCTGCTGGGGGATGATTGTATTGAATGCTGAGCTGAAGTCGATGAACAGCATTCTGACGTAGGAGTCTTTAGTCTCCAGGTGGGTGAGGGCTGAGTGGAGGGCAGCGGAGATGGCGTCATCGGTCGAGCGGTTAGACCGATATGCAAACTGGAAAGGGTCCAGGGCGGGGGGAGAACAGACTTGATGTGCTGCATTACTAGCCGCTCGAAGCACTTCATGAGGATGGGAGTGAGTGCGACAGGGCGGTAGTCATTTTAGCTGGAGGGAGACGACTTCTTCGGGACCGGGATGATTGTGGTGGCTTTGAGGAACGTGGGGAGAACAGCCTGTCTCAGCGAGGTGTTGAAGATGTTGGTGAAGACATCTGTGAGCTCCTCTGCACAGTCTCTCAGGACACGACCAGGAATGTTGTCAGGACCCTGGGCTTTTCACAGGTTCGTCCTTCTGAGGGATCGCCTCTCACTATCTGGGGATAGCGTCAACACCTGGTCGCCGGGAGGTGGTGGGGTCTCCTGTGCCGGGGTGTTGTTGTCTGCCTCAAAGTGAGCGAAGAAGTCGTTCAGCTGGTTCAGCAGAGAGGTGGAGCTGTCACAGGTCTGCGGAGAGGGCTTATAGTCAGTGATGGGCTGCATTCCTCGCCACAGGTTCCTGGTGTCTCTGCTGTCGTTGAAGCGGTCTGCGATCCTCCTGGAGTACTGCCTCTTGGCTTTTCTGATGCCTCATGACAGGTTGGCCCTGGCTGTCCTCCGGCCCACCTCTTCGCCAGCTTTGAAGGCGGCGTTCTGAGCCCTCAGGAGCCTGTGGACTTCCCCTGGCTTCTGGTTGGCGCGAATGGAGATGGTTCTGGTGACCGTGACATCGTCCATGCACTTCCTCATGTAGGAAGTGACGGCCTCTGTGTAATCCTGGAGGTCCGTGATGTTGTTGTAGGTAGCTGCCTGTCTGAACATGCTCCAGTCAGTGGTGGAGAAGCAGTCCTAAAGTGCCCCTGAAGACCCCTCAGGCCACACGCGTATCTGCTTTGTAGCTGGTTTGGTGACTTTAACCAGCGGCCTGTATGCTTTCATTAGCATAACAATGGTGTGGTCTGAGGCCCCGAGGTCGGGGAGGGGACGGGCTTTGTAAGCACCTCTGTCTGTGGTGTAGACATTGTCCAGGGTATTGTTTCCTCGTGTTGGAAAGTAGATGTGTCCATGGAGTTGTGGAAACACGCTCTTGGAGTTGGCGTGGTTGAAATCCTCTGCCAGGATGAGGAAGGTATCTGGGTGGGCTGTCTGCTGGTCACTGATGTGCTGATGGAGTTCATACAGTAGAATCAGAATCAGAATTGGTTGAGCAATTTATCCTCTGTGCATTTAAAAAAAGAAAAAAGAAAGAAAGATCTCAAAAAAATAAATCCACACATACCTACACATGTAACCCCCCTCCATGCACACACTCACACACGCACACTTCTGGGTAAAAACGACACACGCACATATATACACACACACAAACACACACACAAACACACACGGTCTATTGCACATATTCCCATGACCCACACTGATGATTGTCCAAAGTGCATAGTAGAGGGGGGCTGGGGGGGAGTTAAGTGTTCAAAAGTCTGATTGCCCATGGATAGAAAGTGCTTCTAAGCCGGTTTGTCCTGCTCCCCAATACCCTGTATCGCTTCCCAGAGGGCAGGAGATTGAAGAGGCCATTGCCTGGGTGGGATGGGTCAGACAGGATCTTCTTTGCCCTGTTTAGCCCTCGCGTATTTGCGATGTCTTCCAGGGAGGTCAAAGGGCAGCCAATAATTTGCTGCGCTGTTTTAATGACCCCTTGCAGGGCTTTCCTGTTCTTGGCCATGCAACCTGGGTATCATATAGTGAGGCAGTATGTCAGCACACTCTCTATGGTGGAACGGTAGAAGGAACGCAGCAGGTGCACATCCAGGTCACATTTCCTCAGTGGTCTTGTGGTGTAGCCTCTGCTGGGCCTTTCCACCTACCGCTGATGTGTTGGTGGACCACGTTAAATTGTCAGCCACATGCACCCCAAGAAACTTAAAAGAAGAGACTCTCTCCACACAGTCACCCTCTATCTGTAGTGGGGCAGGGCCAGCTCTCTTTCTCCTCCAGTCCATCACCATCTCCTTGGTTTTGCTGGCATTCAGCAGGAGGTTATTCACTGAGCACCAGGCTGCGAGCCTCTGGACCTCCTCCCTGTATGCTGTCTCATCACCGCCCGAGATGAGGCCTACCACTGTTGTGTCATCCACAAATTTGACAATGATGTTAGAGTGGTGGAGAGGGACACAGTCATTTGTGTATAGGGCATACAGGAAAGGGCTTAACACACAGCCCTGAGGCGAACCTGTGCTCAGTGTCGTCCGAGTGGTGGATGTTAAGCGCCGGGTATACTCGCCGCAGTCGACCTGTCGCATGACAATGTGACGTCAAAATGACGTAGATCTCACTGGCGCGCCAGGATTTTGGCCCGGTTGCGCGACTTGTTGTCCTCCTCTTTTCAGCATCTCTGTGCTCCTTCATTGAAGGATCTTACAGATCGTCCATCTTCCTGTTGGGAGAGTGAGAAACGTCCTCTCGATTACTTTGTATGTCTGGTGCATGTGAAGCAATTGACAATAAAGCTGACTTTGACTTTGAAATGTTTCTTTCATCACAGCAGCTCCACAGGAAAAGGCCCTACAACTTGTATTTGCTTCATATTTAATTTTAGGATGGACTGCTGCTTCCGTCTAATTTTGTTAAATGATGGCACCTTGTAGCTTAACTGTTTCTTTATGGATGACAACAGGAACTTTATGAGAGTCAGACGGTGAACCAAAAACAATTTCTTCACTTTTCTTTGTGTTAATTTCAAGAGCATTGTTATCACTGCACTCGACCACTTTGTTCCCGTCATGTTGATGCAGCCCAGAGTTGTCTGAGTTACTGAACACAGATATGATGATGATACAGCTCTAAAGCTGTATCACGAGAATACTTTAGATTGTATTGAGTTGGTGTATCTGTAAAGAAATCATCAGTATAGAAAGTGAAAAACAGCTGAACTCAACAACAATATGAATGAAAACATGTTGGTTCTTACAGAGTTCAGTCGAACAGACGGAGAGCAGAGTCTGCAGTGTCCAGCTGTCTGTCTATGAAGAGTGACTGGTCCAATGACCATCCTCCATTGTTCAGTAATGAACCTCGACCCTCAGACTCAAAGTAAGAGAACTGATACAAACTCATTTATATGACTCATTTTCAGTTCCCTCTGCTCATGCATGCTTTCTGTTGATTTTGTGTTTATATATTAAACTTTATGCTAAAATGTATTTACTTACTAAACAGTGACAGTTAGTAAGTATTAATAACTAACTACAGGCTGATCACTAAATGTTTAATGAGACAAACAGGAAAAGCAGTTCATTGGTGTTTGTGAAAGCAGGAGAGTTGAAATTAAAGGAACAATTGTTTCATTTCAGACTGAATGCTGAATTCAAACAGAAAAGTAACGAGACTTTTACTGTTCTCTGTGACCATCTGAGCTTCTACACAGAGTCAGTGGACACATGTTGATATGTTTCAACTACAGTCAACAAATCATTGTACTTATAAAGAAATGTCTTCACAGAGAGAGGAAGAGGAGTTGCTGCGTTTTGTGTCGGGACGTCCTGAAGGATCCAGTCTCTACCAGCTCTGGACTCTGGTTCTGCAGACAGTGCATCACCTCATACTGGTACCAGTCTGCTTCATCAGGAGACGCCTCCTGTCCCCAGTCTGGAGAAAGACCCAGAACAAGACAGAGTAAGACTGTATACCTGTCTGCTGATGTGTTAATACATTAGTTGTGTCATACAGTACGGCCATTTAACACCTTTATACATTTAAATTTTATTTGCATGTTTTTTCTGCTCCAGCATACAATTCTTGTCCTTGTTCTCCTTTGAGAAAACATATTGACACATGTTGGTTTTATGATAGCGCCCCCTGTCTTTGTATTAAGCAGTCAGAATGCTGTTTGTTCTCTGTGTGCATAGATGGAGATGGAGAACTATTAAACTCTGTGTAAAGCAGTAACATCACTGTTCTATCACAGACAGACAGCAGCCTGAGACGCAACAAGAGCCACAGACTTTAAACAACAGCTCACATTGGTGTTCCTGCTCGTGACTGCTTCTTCTCTAACTTACAAACACACTTCGTCCTGCAGACTGACTTGTTGAACAAGCAACCGAATAAACATCCACTGAGGAAAAGTGCACTGCTAACATCATTAGGTAGCTAATGAGCTCATCAGTGTCAGCACATTAAACAGCTTAAACTGTACTGTACTTACACTGTTGGCCCTCAGCTCGTAAACAACAGTTTTCAGTTTGCTTACTTTGTCTTTGTGCCACATTGTGTCAAACTGTGAACACGTGCATCTCCACTGCAGCCTCATAGCAGGAACAAACTAGCTGTTGTGGTTCTGATGGTAGCATCATGGTCAACAGGGGCCAACCTGAGATCCTCCTCCCTCAAACAAAAGCCACGTCTGTATCTAAAGTGATCAACTTCCTGCTGCTGCTGCACATGACAGTGGACCAATGGGAGGCTTTTATTGTGAAGCAGGAAATGGAGTGTATTCCTCACACAGATTCACTATTCAATAACGTATTCTGCATTATTTGGTCGGTGGATCAGTTTAAACATTCCTGAGACGAAGGAACAGCCACAGTGAGCAATTCAGATGAAGAGCTGATGAAGAGAGTCCACTGACACACAGCCAGAGGCTGAGAGACAAAGGAGCATTTCTGATGTTTACACAAAACTGGACTTTATAACCTTTAAGTCTGGATTCTTTTTTTTATTGGCAAGTAAAATAATCAGAAGATTGTCAAATTTTCTTTGTTTTGTCTCCCATTTCTTCTTCTCTTCCAGGAGATGGTGGTCTGCAGGAGGTTTTAGATGAACATAAGATCAGTCTGAGGAGGAGATGTGAACGTGTGACTGAAGGAACTGATGAACCAGGAAGTGGAACCCTCCTCAACAGGATCTACACTGAGCTCTACATCACAGAGGGACAGAGTGAAGAAGTTAATACCCAACATGAGGTGAGACAGCTTGAGACAGCTTCCAAGAAGAAGATCCTCCATGACGCTCCAATCAGGTGCCACGACGTCTTTAAAGCCTTACCTGACCAACAGAGACACATCAGAGTGGTTCTGACGAACGGCGTCGCTGGCGTTGGAAAAACCTTCTCAGTGCAGAAGTTCACTCTGGACTGGGCAGAGGGCTCGAACAACCAAGATGTCAGTCTGGTGGTTCTGCTTTCGTTCAGGGAGCTGAACCTGATCAAAGATGAGCAGTACAGTCTTCTCAGGCTGCTCCATGTTTTCCATCCAACATTACAGAAGGTCACAGCAGAGCAGCTCACTGTCTGTAAACTTTTGTTCATCTTTGACGGCCTGGATGAAAGCAGACTTTCACTGGATTTCCACAACAATGAGGTTGTGTCTGACGTCACACAGAAGTCTTCAGTCAACGTGTTGTTGACAAACCTCATCAAGGGGAATCTGCTTCCATTGGCTCTTGTCTGGATAACTTCCAGACCTGCAGCAGCCAATCAGATCCCTCCTGAATGTGTTGACAGGGTAACAGAAGTACGAGGCTTCACTGACGTCCAGAAGGAGGAGTACTTCAGGAGGAGAGTCAGTGATGAAGATCTGTCCAACAGAATCATCTCCCACATCAAGGACTGCAGGAGCCTCCACATCATGTGTCTAATCCCAGTCTTCTGCTGGATCACTGCTACAGTTCTGGACCACATGTTGACCACAGACCAGAGAGGGGAGCTGCCCAAGACCCTGACTGACATGTACTCACACTTCCTGCTGGTTCAGACAAAGAGGAAGAAGCAGAAGTATGATGAGGGACATGAGACGAGTCCACAGGAGCTGATGGAGGCTGACAGGAAGGTTCTTCTGAAGCTGGGGAGGCTGGCGTTTGAACAGCTGGAGAAAGGAAACATCATGTTCTACCAAGAAGACCTGGATCAGTGTGGTCTTGATGTCACAGAGGCCTCGGTGTACTCAGGAGTTTGTACAGAGATCTTCAAAAGAGAGAGTGTGATCTTCCAGAAAACAGTCTACTGCTTCGTTCATCTGAGCATTCAGGAGTTTCTGGCTGCAGTCTACATGTTCCACTGTCACACCAACAGCAACACAGAGGTACTGAAGGACTTCCTGGGAAAATATTATGTTAATTCAACTCTAGACATCTTCCTGATGGAAGCAATGACGAAATCCCAGTGTAGTAAAAATGGCCACCTGGACCTGTTGGTTCGCTTCCTTCATGGCCTCTCTCTGGAGTCCAACCAGAGACTCTTAGGAGGCCTGCTGGGACAGACAGACAACAGTCCAGAAATCATCCAGAGAAACATCAACAACCTGAAGAAGATGAACAGTCATAAAATCTCTCCTGACAGAAGCATCAACATCTTCCACTGTCTGACGGAGATGAACGACCACTCAGTCCATCAGGAGATCCAAGAGTTCCTGAAGTCAGAGAACAGATCAGAGATGAAACTGTCTGAGATCCACTGCTCAGCTCTGGCCTACATGCTGCAGATGTCAGAGGAGGTTCTGGATGAGTTGAACCTGAAGAAGTACAACACATCAGAGGTGGGACGACGGAGACTGATTCCAGCTGTGAGGAACTGCAGAAAGGCTCTGTAAGTCCAGATGTGATTAACATTGTAAAGCAATACTGAAGTCATCAGTATTAGAGTCAATATACACACTTTACACACACACACACACACACACACACACACACACACACACACACACACACACACACACACACACACATATAAAACTTCAACACTATAAAAGTTTTCCTAAACTAGTATTAAACCTGCTTATTGAATACAGTAGACATGTGTTACACTACAAATGTTTAAAATGCACCGAGAATAAGACAGAAATCATTTTTGTGTTTATGGCTATCAGGTCAGTGAACATCTTCTAGTAATTTCTATCGTCTTCTGTCTTTATTTGAGTGACAGAGGTTCGACACAAATCCAGCAGACAAACTTGAGGGCTCAAGAGTTTGTGCTGGAAATGTCCTTTTTTACAGTGTATACAGTGTGTGCAATGTGTTTCTGTTATCATTTATTTTTAGGGACTGAGCCAGCGACCACTGGAGGTCCCTATTGTTTTTGCTTCGTTTCTTATTCTTACCCAGTATTTTTTGCCCCCTTTGACTGCCTTTTTGCCCCCCTGAACATATACATAGACATAAAATTCAATTTTATTTGGCAAAGGGGTCAGGCCTGGTGAAATATTGGATATTCTTTGTGTTGCTTTCAGATCGGCCACTAGGTGGTGCTACTATCATAAAAAGGGAGTTTAGGCTAATAAGTTCTGCATAGTTTGTCGCACATTCAAAAACCTCATATCCACACGTTCGGTGAATGGAGCTGAATCTCCCCATATAGGCCCCGCTGTCTTGCGCCAATAATGTTTTTTCGTTAGGGCACAAAATGTCCTTAAATTAGTTTTTCCTGTTCCTCCAACACACTTTGTCCAATTGGCATGTAATTTTTCACCTAGCACCTGGGGACCGCCCTGGCAAAAAAAGTAATTTGAACATGTTTGAAATTTAAAAAATAAGCACGCTATAAACTTTATACTTCCTGTACATTTTTCGTCAAAAAGGAAGTGGACCATTTCTCCACATTGGTATGTCCGATTGACACCAAGCTTGGGTCCATAGTTCGCCATGTCTTCCTTAGGCATCTTGCTCAATGTCAGGCCATCACCACTAGGTGGTGCTCTTTGAAATAAAGAAGTTTATATCTCTGCAACAGCACGTGTGATTAAAATGAAACTTGGTACAATGCTTGCCCATGGCTCCCTGAGGCTCAATAATAAATGTGTCAACAATCTGCCACTAGGTGGTGCTCTGGTGGCATGGTAAATCACTGTGCGGAGACCGTAATAGTTATAAATATGAAATTCACAGGGCACGTGTAGAGTAGTGCCTGAAGCTCACATACCAAAAATCGTGTTTGTCGTGTTTGTAGCGCCCCCTACAGGATAAAAAAAGCATCCCCGGCGCCACGTTTCACCGATATGTACGAAACTCGGTAGGCACGTGCAACGTGCCAAGACCTACAAAAAATCCTATATCCCAAACCCCACGGGAAGCCGGCCATTTTGATTTTGATTTTCACTTTCGGCTAACCTTTTGTGTTGTATTTGAACTCCTCCTCCTAGGGAATTCATCGGATCTGCTTCAAAATTGGTCTTAAAAGTTGAGCTATTTGTGACTGTACGTCAAACCACGTGCCAGTGACGACTTCTCAAATTCAGCCGATTCACCATAAAACAGCACTCATAACTTCAGTGTGCAATGTCCAACCTCCATAAACTTCATATATTCCGTAACAGTCTCGCCCTGAACACGTCCTCATAACTTCAGCGTACGTGGTCCAATCTCAATGAAACCTCACGTGTTTGATAAGAGTCCCGTCCTGAACATGTCTACATAACAATATTCAGACATAGTGATAGCGCCACCTATTGGCAAAAGGAACTAAGCGCTGCATGGCGATTTTGAGCTGATTTAGGTGAGATTTTCATGTTGTGGTCCGCGCGTGTTACGACGGCGCGCAACACGGCCGCAGCACGCCCCGAGTTGCGTGGATTGCGAGGTCCCGCTCAATGCTGCTTGCAGCTTTAATTCTTTTTATGATTTGTGTGGCTGTGGGGTTTCCCCCAATAAAATCTGATGTTATTTAACTAAAACTTTGCATTTTAATAAATAGTAATAACAATAATACATTTTATTTTTAGAGCGCTTTCCTAGGAACTCAAAGACATATCACATAAGTTACAAAAGAAGTTTATAGAACAACACCCTAAAAACTATATATAGATATATATCTACAACACTCAACAATAATTCAAACATTAAAGCGCCTAATTAAAGGCCTTGGGACAGGGGAGCAGTGGAGGAGGTGCAGTTGTTGGTATTGATGAACTGTTGTCTATTTGTGAGATATGACCTTAGCCAGGAGAGGCCAGTACCGGTGATGTTGAGGGTGGAACATGAAGAGGAAGTGCAGCTCTTCATTCCTACCATGAAGTTGGACAGCCCCATGGGGGAAACAGGAAAACTGTAAAGGAGTTGCACTTGTCCACTGTGAAGGAACTGGAGGAGTTGTCACAGGGCAGAAGGTTGTTTATGGTGGAAAAGAGTGCCTTGGGGTTGGTAGAGCCAGACTGTATGAGATATGAGTAGTAGGTGGACTGGGCAGAGGTTAGAGAGTCTTTGTATAGCTGCAGGTAGTCTGTGTAGGCTTGGAAATGCACTGTTAGGCCAGTTTTCTTGCTGAGTCTTTCAAGCTGGCATTTTCTGTGGGTCACTACGGATGACGACAAACTTTAACCACCTGAACAAAAACAGACAAACAGACTCCTGCTGCTGCCAGTTGCTGCGTGTCCATGTGCACATAAAGTGAATATCAACATACCACAGTCCATATGAAAAGACAGTGAATGTCTGAATGAATGAATGAGTTTGATTTATAAGCACAGTAAGGAAGCTCTCTCTCTGCTAGTATTTGAATGGAATGCTCTGTAAACAGTGGTACCTTCCAAAGCTGCTGATGTTCAGTGATAGAGAGAGTTTTTGTCTCATTGTCTCATCTGGTCACCATAATGTGAGAAATTATATCAGTTTACAAACTGTTAGACAGCATGTTTCCTCTCTGACCATTTCACATCAGGAACACTAAAGACAACATATGCAGAGCAGATAGCAGCACATATTTCCACTGTGGTTTTCATTGAATCTGCAGCCACAGTCTTTGTGTATTTAGCAGCTGATTTCCTCAGACAGCAGCTCATTACACAGTCAGCTCCTGGGACGGCCTCCCGGTTCTTTCTGCCGGTGAAGGAGAGCTCAGTAGGTTCATTTTATCATCACCAAGCTCAGAGAAGAAACGATAGCGTAGTTAAAACTTTTACTTCAGCCAGTTGAACTTCCCTGGAGGATCCTTGGTGACGGCGTGCAGATCCAGCGGTCAGCAGCTCCTTCAAACCTCGCTACATTTTTGTTTTATTTGTTATTTTTTAAACCTTTATTACTGAAGCTCAGATTACTTATGACAGAAATACACTCATCAACACTGGTAAAGGAAGTGCAGGGATTGGATTAAGTGCAGTGGACCTTGAGACGATCACCGACCACAAGATCTTCCGCCCATCCAGCCGGACCAAACGGCACCGCCCCAGGAAGAGCTGGAGGAGAGCCGGGATAAAAGCTAAGCTAACCCAGCTCAGACCGAAGACTGCTCCACTACCCGGCCTACTGCTGGCTGATGTCTGGTCTCAGGAACATGGAATGGATGAAATGGGACTCAGGCTGACCCAGCATCAGCAAATCAGAGACTGCTGTGCCCTCATCTTTACAGAGACCTGCTCCACCACAACATCCTGGATCAAGCTGCTGCTCTCGACAGGCGGAGCGTGTTCGGCCCTGACAGAACACAAAACTCTGTTTTTACGTCAGTGATACTCGTTGCTTAAACACAGTTAAAGTGGGACACTGGGAACTATTAATGTTACTTAATGAGGATGGCATTAATATTAATAAGTCAACACTGCATCTCAAAACACTGCGGTCACACCTACCTCCTCTGAGAAGTCTACATCTCTTTGTACGGTATAACGGATGGATCTGTACTCAAATGTCCACAAGGGTTGTTTAATACGGGACACTTTCTATTTATTTCTGATGATCTTTTGTTGAAATACATGTTTCATTACTTTCTTAGTCTTTGACTGCACATTTTTAATAGTTAGATGCTGCAAAGATAAATACTCGCACACTGACCTGCAATATTACATTAATTTACAACGTTTGGGTACTAGACCTTCATCAGGCAAATGGTTCATGACAATGTGGAGCCATCTTAAACAGGGAGCAGCTACAAGTCTGCAAACAGTCCGTCCCCACATGCAGTAGGAAGGCATTAATGACAGACAGAGAAATGGACCTTAGTAACATCATATCATCAGTATACACAAAGTGGACAAAGCCATCACAGAGAAATAAAAACCTTTATAATAAATTCAACGAGGTCTCACAAAAAGTGAGTGAGCAAACAATATATATCAAAACCTACATATGTTAAATACCAATAATCAGATCCACATTCACTCATTAATTAATAATCCTACAGGCTCCAAGAGGTGATTACAGTGAACGTATGCAGGTTACATTTGTGGATGAACCTACCTGGCATATGGACAACACATGTACCTATATTATCAGGTTCATTAGACATGTGAGCTGTTGATACTCATGATATGATGTTACTATGGTCCATGTTTCCAGCTCCTTGTATGTGATTTGGAGGCTGTCACATTGTTTGTCATTAATGGCTTCCTACTGCTCGTGGGGAATGAGCATGATATGAATATGCATATTTTAAAAATTCAAACCAGATTGTTGTTCAACATGTCCCCAGGTACCACTGAGCTAAACAGTGGCCAGTATGTGGGACCAGTCCACTTTTTCATAAAGATCCTGATCTCATCATCACAACATCTTTCCTTGTAATTACGAGATAGTAACTGATAATTACAATATGTCTAAATGTTTTTTTGTGAAGGCAATGTGCTTCTGTAGCTGTTTACATTCCCCCAGACCCACATTCAAAAAATGCACTGCAGAACTACTTTACTGGCTTTATAGTTATATATGTTAATAACTGTATGTATTGTTTATTTTATTTTATTCTAATATAAATGTAATATTTGTGTGTGGCATGAAGGGGCTACAACTTACATTTAAACATGCTGTGTTAAATATGAATGTTGAATGATTTATGTGTGTCTATTTGCTTTGTGTGCAATCAGATTTTATTTTAAAGGTTATATTCTCTGTATTCACAGACTTTCTAACTGTGGACTCTCATGGACTCACTGTGAAGTCGTGGCCTCAGCTCTGAAGTCCAACCCCTCCCATCTGAGAGAGCTGGACCTGAGTTGGGGACACCTGCAGGATTCAATAGTGAACCTGCTGTCTGCTGGGCTGAAGAGTCCACACTGTAGACTGGAGACTCTGAGGTCAGTTCATGTGCTTGCTCCTGTGTATATCTACCAAATATAACAGAAGTTTTAAATCTCCTTCAGTTCTTTTACTTTCTAAGTTTGTCTGAGCACAAATCACAACAGCTCTTGTTTAAAGTCTGTCAGTCTGGATGATTTGGCTCCAGATTTCGTCTGTACTCAAACTGGATTGGTGTTAGTCAGAAAACTGTAGGATTTATTCTACAATGTGCTGCAGAATGAAATGAGTATTTAGTGAAACACTCGGGGCTGAGGACACGTTCACTGTGTGTAGTACGTTCAGTGAGTTAGGATCTATCTGAGTGAGTCATTGAATCACTGCACGTTGGCTCTCAGCTGACTGAGAACAGATTGTTTGAGGAAGTGATTCAGTACAGTTCGTTCACCCAAAACATTTGTTCATTCAGACGAAACGTATGAATGTAATGTGATCTCTGATTCAACACACTGCCAGTTCTCAAACTCTTGAGACAAAGTTTTATAACATTGGAAATATTAACGCTGCTGACATTGTTAGTGTGAAACTAATATTTCAGACAAGAAATTGTTGTTTTCAGAAGTTTAAATTCTAACTGAAATATTTAAAGTTAAACCATAGTTAATACTATTAAAGCTTTATTCCACACTGAGGATTCAACCACATAGATTTGATGCTGATTCACACTGAGCATCTTGTTGAGCTTCATATTTAAAACATATTTAATATCACATTAATCATTCAACAGTGGTTGATTCTCTCTTAATGGTTTCATTTTCACCTTTCCCTCATTTGAATGAAACAGAAACGTGTTTTATTCTCCATCAGTGAATGAAAATAAATAGTTCAAAACTGAACCCCAAATCCCACAAAGCGGTTTCTGGAAGAACCTCCACACTGGACCTATTGTAACTGTGCTTTTTATTGTTTCCATTCAAAGTGACACAACATGTACATTTAATAACAGATAACAGATGTATATTGGAAATCAATACAAATAAAATCATAATGAAAGTAAATAAAAAAGAAACTAGATCATAGGACAGATTGTCCCCATCTACTTCTACCCCCATGATCTGTGTACATACCGAGTGTTTAAGACACATTAAAGGCACATTTACACAATAACACTAAATATGAAAAATACAAGAATTAAAGTCATCTAAAAAGAACTAACAAAAACCAAATTAAATGAAATATAAAATCAAAAACATTGTCCGTAAAGGATCAATAGAACCACTTGAACCAGAGACTAATAAAGCATGTTGTCCTTGATAATTATTTCAAATAATTTGTGGCAGAAAATAAAAAGTTTAGCTCCTTGCTGTTGAGCTTAATGATTAAGTACTCACTGACTGTACAGTATGTTTTGTCTTTTAGTGTTTTTTCCCTTTATAGCACATTTCAAACACCTCAAAACTCAGGCGTAGTCTGAAGATATGGTTGGTGTAATTTATTTCTGGTCTCACAAGGTGCACAACGGTGATAATATTTACAGAAAGTGGTCCAAAAGGGCAAAAACTTGGAAAAGGAAAATCAAGTGCTATATACAACGTTTCAAACATAAATGAATAAAAAAGAAACTATCACAACAAATACTTAAATTACCCAGGTCGTAACCTCCAGTGCACGTTACCTCCACTGTTACTAAGCCAGGACTGACTTCACTAGCCCCTCCCACTGGGCTTAATATTTCCATTAATTAACAACAATTAATACCTTTTCTTATTACTGTTTCCATCATCTAAACACTATATATATTTCAAACACAATGTATTTATAATTTCTCCCCTATTCCTCTATAAGCCAAACTAGTTATTATATCAAGAATTAATATTATAAAGAAAATGTAATTATTCTGCCCACATGACCTGGAAGACCTGCAAGATTATCACATATAACCTCCGACTGTATCCAACTCTGTCTGTCCAACCAAACTCCTGAGACAGCACTCTCACTAACAGCACAGTTTATTAACTCACTTATTAATTAAATTAATGAGAGCAGAAAGGAGCTGAGGGAAATGGATTATGTCTGTGTGTGTGTGTGTGTGTGTGTGTGTGTGTGTGTGTGTGTGTGTGTGTGTGTGTGTGTGTGTGTGTGTGTGTGTGTGTGTGTGTGTGTGTGTGTGTGTGTGTGTGCCAGCAGTCAGTGGCTGCAATAAAACTATTGAGGAGACAGTATTTAGTATTAACTCCTCCCTCCCCGAACAGATACAGCTGATCCACTGAGACTTTATGTGTTTGACTCCCAGATATGTCCAGATAGACACTAATCTAAAGCTTTTTATAAACTTGTACATTGTAAACCTTCTTCAGCTCTGAACAGATTATTAAACACTGAATGATTTCAAGCAGGAACATTGTCTTCTAAACTCACATCTTTTATTCTTTATTCAGATTGGAGGGCTGCAGTTTGTCAAATTTCATCTGTTCTTCTCTGGTCTCAGCTCTGAAGTCCAACCCCTCCCATCTGAGAGAGCTGAACCTGGGTAAGAACAACCTCCTGAAGGATTCAGGAGTGAAGCTGCTGTGTGGTTTTCTGGAGAGTCCACACTGTAGACTGGAGACTCTGAGGTCAGTTCACTGACTCTCTGTTACTGTTGTAGATCTGATATCTTTCATTAACAACTCAACCTAATTGATGTTGATCCTTATACCATGGTGTGTGTGAATCCTGCATTGTGATTGGCTGCTGGGTGTCCATTACGTCCTGCTGTAGGACAGCTACTGAGATGTTCCAGTGAAACTGTCTGTTCACCGTTCTAAATGAATGATATCAACTGAATTCAAACAGAATGTGAATATCTCATAAATCTATCTGACAGCACTGAGTGTCGTCCTTCATCCTCTGAACACCACAGCCCGACCCCCCCCCTGAACTCACTGATACTCACATCCCATTGGCTGTTCAACTCGCTACTTCAGGCTGCGGCCGTCAGTGCACATGTCCTATCGTTGGTCCAAATCTGCACATTGATTTGGGGACAATGACCTGGCTGATAGCGAGCTAGTCTTGTTAAACATTCTGTCACATTATATTTACTGTTTGTCACTGACTCTGAGTCCTAGCGTAGCATTAGCTCTCTGACTCGTAGCGTAGCATTAGCTCTCTGTGTTGATCTACACATTAAAAACCTGAACACATCTGATTGGATTATAAATGATTTTATCTTCATCATTTATTCTTTAAACTTGTACATTGTAAACCTTCTTCAGCTCTGAACAGATTATTAAACACTGAATGATTTCAAGCAGGAACATTGTCTTCTAAACTCACATCTTTTATTCTTTATTCAGTTTGTGGGACTGCTGTTTGTCAGAGATCAGCTGTTCTTCTCTGGTCTCAGCTCTGAAGTCCAACCCCTCCCATCTGAGAGAGCTGGACCTGAGTAACAACATCTACCTGCAGGATTCAGGAGTGAAGCTGCTGTGTGGTTTTCTGGAGAGTCCACACTGTAGACTGGAGACTCTGAGGTCAGACACCATGTTTTCTTTCTGTGCTGAGATGAATGTGATGTGAAAGTTGTGCTGACAGTAAAGTGCAGACATAAGGCTGATATTATACTGATCCACACTGAGTATCTTAATGCTAAAGGCTGTTTTCTTCTTCAGTGGTTTAGTCCAGTGGTTCCCAACCTGGGATTGCAGGGGGTGCACACAACTTTGTCTGCTGAGGTTGTGGGGTTACCAAAATTATTATTTACAAAAATGTAATTTATAAAATCCCAATAAAACACCCAATCAATAATCAAAACTCTATATAATCCAAATTGAAACATATTTTTGGTCTACATTTAAATTCATTAAACTATTTATTACCAACACCCCTGACCTCTGAACCTTCGGTCAGTTTCGCGGCCACGGGCTAGGCTAGACCTGGGTAATTAATCCCAGTTGTTTTCCTGCTGTCAGCATCACTTTATGAATAAAACATCATGTCTGAGAAACGTAAAAGTACCGATGGTTCATCTGTATCAAAGAAGAAAACAAGGCAATATCTCGAGAGTTACCTTGATATTGGTTACAGGACAGTTTTCAGCCAGAATGCATTATTTGTGGTGAGAAGCTAGCTAATGATAGCACGAAGCCAAGCAAACTGAAACAACGCCAGGAGACCAAACACTATTGGTGAAAGTCGAGAATATTTTGAGAGGAAGAAGCAATTCAAGAAGATGCACGGACATCAGAAAAGCTTTTGAAAGAGCAGGTAGTGATTTACAAAGAGCCACAGAGGCGTCATTTGACTGTTCGCTGTTAATTGCCAAGGCTAAAAAGCCGAACAATATTGGAGAGCAGCTAATCAAACCCACCTGCCTGTGGACTGCATGTTGTTGATAAAGTGAAAACTGTCCCACTCTCAGACAACACTGTGAAAGACTGGCTGCAGATTGCAAAAACCAGCTGCAGAGAAGCTGAGGAATGTTAACTTTGCCATTCAGCAGGACGAAACAACAACAGTCTCAGACGAGTCTGTCCTCATCGTTTATGTGCAGTATATTGATGGCGAGGACTTGGAACAAGACATTCTTATGTCTACAAATCTAGCAATAACAACAACAACCGGCCAGGATATATTTCTGGCTGTGGACTCATATCTCTCATCCAACAATCTGCCCGATGAAAACCTGGTCGCATGTTGCACGGACGGGGCCGCCGCAATGATGGGTAAAAACAAGGGGTTTAACAGCTGCCTTAAGGAAAAAGCCCCAGAGTGCGTGATTTTCCACTGGATGATACATTGGCAAGCACTGTCAAGTAAAAAACTTTCAGAAGACCTTAGTAACACCCTGTCAACTGTTGTTTAGAGTTGTAAACTTTATTAAAGCTCGCCCATCAAACAAGAGACTTTTTGCCCAGCTGTGCAAGGATGAAGCGCATCCAACACTGCTGCTACACACGGAGGTGTGGTGGTTGACGCGTGGACAAGTGCTTGTGCGTTTTATGCAACTGCAAGAAAAAATCAAGGAATTCTTGCAAGATCACAATCGACCACTGTGTGAACAGCTGACTGATGCGTTTTGGAACAAAACAGCATACCTGGCGGACACGTTCACACTTTACAATGAGACAAACAAGCGGATGCAGGGGGCTGAATCCAATGTCATCCAGTGCAAAGACACCCTGGATGCTTTTGTGCACAAACTGGATCATAGAGTTGAAAAAATGCCGAACGGGGAATTACAGCATTTTCCACTGCCGCGTAAGCAGTCTGCTGGCACTGTGCGCGTGTCTTTACGCACCAAGTTTACCCGGCACATGAACCTGCTCCGTGAGGAGATTAAGAGCCGCTTCGCTGACATCGATGAGTACTTATCAAAGAAGCGTGGGTGCTGGACCCCTACATTTCCAACCTCAAGGACTTGGAATACCTTGGCTGTGAAGATGATCTTTGTGACGTTCAAGCTGATTCTGTGTCAAAAGAATATATTTCCAGCAGAACGGATACAAAAAGTTTTGGATTGTCAAAGGACAAACTGTTGCTCCCAGGCTGTCACAGCCCTAGCCTCCTTCATACCACTGGTGGGCGTGGCCACTGGAGCTCCTACTTACACACCTGTAGTTCATCACACTACTCAGCACTCCTGTTCCTCATCAACATCAACTCACCCTTCATAAGCCAGGCCGACCTTCCAGTCCCCGCTGGATCGTTGAACCATCCAGTATGAAATCATGCCAGCCAAACCAGAAACATTTGCTATTTAAGCATTACCTGTTGCTAGCTTGTTTTTTCCTGTCTCACAACCAGACCCAGAGTACTGGAGCCCGGACCCCATACCCACTCTCTGTCTCATCTGCCTCATCTGAGTCTCTGGCCACTCATTCCACGTTTGTTTGTGGACTTCAAATAAAAACTCTTTATTTGAAACTTCACTCTTGTCTGCACCTGAGTCCCGGTCACCATTCCTGACACAGACTGGCCAAACACGCAGTGACAAGGGTTATTCTCCCATTCAGCACTACATACTTGTCTGAGACAGCATTCAGTGCTCTTGTGACAATAAAAACAAAAGCCGGAAACAGACTTGATGTCCACCATGACTTTAGACTGGCTGTCACAACCATCACACTTGACATTGTATCACTGGTGAAAGGTATGCAAGCCCAAGGTGGCCATTAGTTTGTGAATGAATAAACTGGCACAGAGTAAAAAACATAAGGAATAACTTGTTTATTGTTATTGATGTTAGTTGTTATTGTAATTATTACACATAAATGTGTGTTGACATGATGTGCTTGTGAATATCAACAGACTTCCCGTGTTTAAGTTAATTGTCTCAAGGAGATCTGTGACAGAGCTGTATATATAAGCCTAGGTGCTCATACATCTCTGAAAGTCTATCTTTATTCCTTATGTAAGAAGGTGTGTGTGTGTGTGTGTGTGTGTGTGTGTGTGTGTGTGTGTGTGTGTGTGTGTGTGTGTGTGTGTGTGTGTGTGTGTGTGCCCACTCTGTTCAGTTTTTAAAGTAAAAAGAAAAAAAAAGTTTAATGTTTAGCTCTCATGGAAAGAGACATAGGCTAATGTCCTTGCAGTTATTATTTATGTTTGTATTTTATACACCTGGTGACAAACAGATGGAAAGAAAACTGTACAGATACTGATATATCTTAACAATGAATCATTATCTTTCTGTTGTAATGAGGTAGGCCTATTCTATTCTCTGGTAGGCCTAATCTGGTCATAAATTAAACTGTGTGTGTGAATTACCTGATGACACAAAAAGGAAGAAATGTATCTATATACATTGTAAAACAAGGAGAATAATAACAAAAACCTACAACTGGTGTTTATTTGTGCAAATAAAAGTTTGTAATTAATGACTTTATTCTTTTAGTGCGTGTATGCGGGTAGGGGTTGGGGTTGGGGGGGCCTGACTTGTCTTGGACACAGGTCGGTGGTTGGGAATCACTGGTTTAGTCCATTGACTGTGGCAGAGCAATGTTGAGCTCCACATTTAAAACCTTCATATAACAAGAAGAATCTACACTGAATAATTCACTGTGAACCTCTTCAGCTCTGGATTTTACATTAAAGGTCACCTTGTGGTTTAAATCATCCATAAAAATAAGTTAATTAAACAATCTTTATTTCAACTGTCAGACAATAACAAATATATTCAGTGTTTTATGAAGCTGTGTGACGTTTCTACTGACTGAACTGTTTCATTATAAACTCACATCTTTTATTCTTTATTCAGATTGAGGTGCTGCAGGTTGTCAGAGATCAGCTGTTCTTCTCTGGTCTCAGCTCTGAAGTCCAACCCCTCCCATCTGAGAGAGCTGGAGCTGAGTAACAACAAGCTGCAGGATTCAGGAGTGAAGCTGCTGTGTGGTTTTCTGGAGAGTCCACACTGTAGACTGGAGACTCTGAGGTCAGACACCATGTTTTCTTTCTGTGCTGAGATGAATGTGATGTTAAGTTGTGCTGACAGTAAAGTGCAGACATAAGGCTGATATTATACTGATCCACACTGAGTATCTTAATGCTAAAGGCTGTTTTCTTCTTCAGTGGTTTAGTCCATTGACTGTGGCAGAGCAATGTTGAGCTCCACATTTAAAACCTTCATATAACAAGAAGAATCTACACTGAATAATTCACTGTGAACCTCTTCAGCTCTGGATTTTACATTAAAGGTCTCCTTGTTCTACTGACTGAACTGTTTCATTATAAACTCACATCTTTTATTCTTTATTCAGATTGAGTAACTGCTGGTTGTCAGAGATCAGCTGTTCTTCTCTGGTCTCAGCTCTGAAGTCCAACCCCTCCCATCTGAGAGAGCTGGACCTGAGTCTCAACAACCTGAAGGATTCAGATGTGAAGCTGCTGTCTGATCTTGTGGAGAGTCCACACTGTAGACTGCAGACTCTGAGGTCAGTAGAGGGTCTGAGTCAGTCCATGCTGGTTCCAGCAGTCTTGGACTAAGCACAGATGCAGTATTTGCTGCTTTCCTCAGTGAAGCTGTGAGAGGAGAATGGGGACAGGCTTCAGGATTGGACAGACAGACAGACAGAGAGAGAACAGTCAGCCAATCAGAGAGCCAGAAGCTTGTTGTGTTCATGTGTTTGAGTTGATGTGAAGACGACTGTTGTTGTTGTGTTCATGTGTTAATAATAAAGCTGGATTCCAGCTTACAGCATTACAAGATGTATAGAGACAGTGGTCCTCATTCATCCAGTCTGATCTCACACTGTTTGTTCTCTCATTTCTACACTAAACAACTGATCAGTTGGTCTTTGTCACAGCTCTGAGATCAGTCTGACTGAAGCCTGCAAACAACCATCATTACATTTAGTGACCATGTGGTCTTTGTACAGACCAGGACCTCTGCTGGAGTCCAGTACCCACAGCTGATGTGTTGCTGTTCAGTCTTTGTATGAACATGTAGGACCTTTAACGTCAGATATATATCTGTCCATTTGTCTCTTGTTTGTCCAAATAGTTTGAATATTTACACATTTGTCCTGTAAGATTTCAGATGAAACATTCAAATGTGACTGAGACTGTGGTTTTTATCAGCTTTGAACCCTAACAGCAGTAAATGCATCATTCCAGTGGGCAGTGAATGTCTCTCTGTTTCTGCAGTAATGATGTGTTCAGACCCTGCTGCTCTTTATACTGGATGTGCTGATGGAGGGAGTCTCTGTAAACACTGATTTATCTCTGCTGTCCTCTGTCTCCTTCTCTCCTCAGATGGAAGTGAGCTCAGTCAGACTGTGAGCGTTGAGGAAGGAGGTTGTGTTGGAGGATCCGCTGTGTCCTGATGATCCAGAGAGGTTGAAGCAGCAGCATCACTCCACATACAGAAGCGGTATTGCAGTGCGTGATACTGCCTCACTATAATGTAATGTCCTATAAAAATAAAATAAATAAATATAATAAATAATATGTCTGACAGGAAATGTACTTTTAGTCTTTGTCAGCGTGCACATGTTTATTGAGAATGGGATGTCTACATGGCTGTGAGTCAGTGTGTTGGTATTGTAATACCTATACTGAACATCTTTAATCTTGCCCTTGACACCCCCAATATTAAAATAAGATGAAATAAATAAATAAAACTCATTTGAAACTTAATGTTTTATTATTTTCCTGGCAGAAATTGGGCTTCCATACAAGGTCTGGATGAAAAAATAAAATATGTTGTTAAATGTTAGACTTTAAACTGTCCTGTTTCTATAGCAACTGGCATTAATCAGTATTCCCAACCCCCCCCCTTCTGATGACATCATGATGACATGACATCACTGTCTCTGTCACTGTAACCCATATTAGATGTTAAATGGGCTGCGATGGCTGGGAGTTTCACTGCATGCAAGGAAAACAAACATTTACCAGGCTTAAGGACAGTTTACACCTCTATGTGTTCTATGGAAGAGACTTCATGCCAAACTTCATTTAAAACAAGAGTCCACAAGAGTTTAATATAAGATGTCAAACAAATGAATGTAGTCTTACAGTTTATTCAGCTGATATAAAAAGAGACTTCGTGCCAGACTTCATATGAAAATCTTCCTCTTTCAGCCCGTTTCTACCAAAATACCAAGGCAGTCTTAAATACGACACATTTTCAATGGAGTTTGACACAACTTTCTGTTCAACCTGCAGCATCTGAAGCACTGCCCAATAAAGTAAAATAAACATTACAAAGTCAGGGGACAGCTGGTCGGGATCGTCAAAAAAGTTCCAGATTGTCTAAAAGCCCCTCACGCCTCCCCATGCTGGGGGTTGCCGAACGTCGGAGCGGACCTAAGGGGGATTATTTTTGTAATGTATATTTGTAATATCTGTATCACAGATACAGGTTTAAATATTGAAAATATTACAGTTAAATTGTATTTTTGAAAGAAACAAAGAAAGTCTTTGCGGTTAACAAACACTCATTGAAGGTGAAAGACTGGGTAGAGGAAGTTCCACTGCAGTATATGGAAGTCCCCTCTATGATAGGTAAACATTATTAACGGAAAAAAGTCCTCTCTTGGCAAAAAAACCCAAAACATTTTAAGTAATATTCTGGTAAAAGACCTTTAAAAGAAATTTTTCTATGCTTTTTTTTTTTTTTTTTTTTTTAAACCCAGAAATTGCAGTCCCTTGTTGGAAGTGTAGTCTGTCAGTCCCCTGTTAGTAACGTAGGCGTGTGTGTGTGTGCGTGTGTGTGTGTGTGTGTGTGTCAGCCTTTTGTGCGACTCGTGAACAATCTTCTTTCCTGATTCTTGTCACACACACACACACACACTGCACACACACACACACACACACACACACACACACACACACACACACATAAAGGGTAATAAATTACAGCTGATAATAATCAGAGTTTATTGAGAGATGTAAAATGTTTGATATTTTTTCTGTTCCATGGAAGTCAAAGTATGTTTGTGCTTAAAATAATAAATGAACATTTGAAAAGAGTCAGAACTCAGCTGAAGATCACTCACACTCCTCCTGGTTGCTGCTGCCTTCGTCTGCCACCTGCGACCTCCTCACCTTCTTCTTCATGTCGGTGCCTGGCAACCCCGCAGGGACACACACAGCCACCGAGGTCAGAGGTCAAACGGACCGAGCTTCAACCAAACAGCCTCTCGGTTCACCACCACAGAAAAGTTGAAGAAACCCTGCTGGATCCACCTGTAACTGCTCCAGTACAGATTCATAGCGATACCATCCAGTGGTGAAGTTTCAAACAGTAACTAACTGAACACAGCGGGCGTCTGTGACGTGTGGAGGAGAAACTACAGTGGCTTTAAAATGCTACAGGACATCCAGACATTTCCAAACACACTGAACGCGGCAGACTCAAGTTTGGGTGAAAGTGTGTAAAATGATGCGCGACACATCCATATCTGTGTCATTATTCAGGCAGCCTTCGTTAACAGAGCTGCAACTTACTCATTATTTCTGTTATCAATTAATCTGTGATCATTTTCTGGATTCATTGATTCATTATTTGGTTTGAACTTCTAAGACAATGTGAACAATCCTGTAATGTTATATAGTTAGAATCCCACATTCAGACACATATACACAAGAGCTGTAACTATTGATTATGCTGTTGATTAGTTTCTTCATTAATTAATTGATTATTTGTATGGAAGCCAATTTCTGCCAATGTGAGCAACAATAAGGATTCTGTGAGTCTTTATAATAACAAACTTTCTTTTTATTAATATCTTAAAATAATGGTTTTGTGATACTAACCCTTTTTACCATCACACTGGCACAAATGGGCTTCCATACATTAGAATCTAATATATCAAATAAGACATTTAAAGTTTTATAGATGTATAAAACTTTAAATGTCTTATTTTATCCGATCCAGATAAAATAAGATTACACAGACAAACCTTTACTGTGATATAAAACATCATATTCTCACATTAAACAGCATTAAGAAACTCAATCAATCATTACAACGAGGAGATTTCTGCATCTTTCATTAAATTATAAAGATTAAAACATTATTATTAACAGTTAACTGAGCTAGTATTATGCTAAGCTAACTGTGTGATTGAGTCAATAAACACAACAAAGTGCCAGTAGGATAAAAACAGGCCTCCTACAATATCTGGACAACTGTTCAATAAGTGTAAAAGTGTGAATATGAATATAAAGTGTAAAAGGTTAGAGAACAAACGGTCACATTGGGTTTGGTGAAACGTTAGAAGATGATTGACGTTGAGCGGATTAAAACCAGAGAACTGAATAAATGTCGGAATAAAAACCTACTTTACATTCAGGAGTGAACGATGTCACACTGCGCTCATCTCAGCCTCCTTTCTGGAGCCTTTATTCCACTTGTTTGTGTTTATTTGTCAATAACGTTGTTGACTTTTAAATTTCCCTCTTTCAAAACAAAAGCACGTCACTTCCGCTTCTTCTTCTTCTTCTTCTTCTTCTGCTGCTGCTTTAGTGTAGTCCATAGCAGCAGCCAGGTTGTTACTGTTCACTAAAACTGAATTATATTATATAACATACACATTAAAAACATAATCCCACACTATAACTAATTACCTGATAGAAAATGGAGTCAGTTAATCCAAATATCACAATATCAAAGTAGAATAACTGGATTCTGTTACTTTTGGATTACCTCAACACCAAATATGCAAATAACAATTGTAACCTTGGAAACAGAAATGGACGCAAATAATAATATAATGTAATATAATATAATATAATATAATATAATACAATATAATATAATATAATATAATATAATATAATATAATATAATATAATACAATATAATATAATATAATATAATACAATATAATATAATATATATATATATAAAATATAATATAATGAATATAATTGATATAATGTGATATAATAAAATATAATATAGTATAATATAATATAATGTTATATCTATCACATAATATAATACAATATAATGTAATATAATATAGTATAATATATTATAAAATAACATAATATAACATAATATAATATAATGTAATATAATGTACTATAATATAACATATTTGAATAGAATAGAATAGAATGTAATATATTATAATATGATATAATATAATATAATAAAATACAATATAATGTAATATAATATAATATAATATTAACTAATATAAAATAATATAATATAATACAATGTAATATAATATAATATAATAAAATATAATATAATGTAATATAATATTATATAATATAATATAATATAATACAATGTAATATAATATAATAAAATATTATATAATGTAATATAATATAATATAATACAATATAATATAAACTAATATAATGTAATATAATACAATATAATA